CCATACCTGCAAGTTATAACTTACACTTTTTATTAACAAAATGAAAACCTGGGAGATACAGTTTTTCCCCAGTGTTATTTAGAATGTTATAATTTAATGTGACTAGGAATATTATAATCCACTTTTTGTACTATGAAAATACCAGTTGGGTCATCAAATACGTTGTTTGCTGGGTTTGGTACACAAAGGCCTTTGAGAGCTCAGGGTGTTGCGGGGAAATACATTGTGGTTAGACAGAATCTTTAAGGAAGAGTGGGTGATTAAAACTGCCTGATTAAAACCTACCAAAAGGCATCTTAAAAATTGACCTGGTTTGCTAGACATATTAAAGAATTAGTAGTAAAGTTAAAAGGTGGCTAGGAAGGGGCAGTTAACATAAATGCACATGGAAGAAAATTGGTACCAAAGGTTCATGTGAGACAGAAAGGACATTGTGTGAGAAAAGAATGATCAGGGCTCAGGCTGGCATGTTACTATTTGTCTGTTGTTATAATGCCCAAACTGTGCTTTAGATGATGCAGTATAGGAAGTAATGTGCCTCTGATGTTTTAGAACCGTATCTTTTTATAGAAGTGTCGAGAAGATGTTGATTTGCATTTAATTCTCTGGCAATATTTTCTTGTTTTATTTTTAGAATTTTGGTGAAAGGCAGTACATTCACATGGCTCAAAAATACGTATGTTTATGTATGTATACACCTACAAGCATGCATATACACAAACATACATTGGAACCTCTCCCCACTCTGTCTGCACCTCACGTAACTACTGTTCATGATGTATGTGTGTCTTTATGCATATATTAGCGAGTAATTACAGATCTTTTTACCTGTCCTTTTTTAATACAGGAAGTAGCATGTTTTAGACCTTTCCATATCAATTCATAGGGTGCCTTCATCATATGCTAAATTGTCCTATGAATTTTTTGTTGGGACTTTTTCTGTTTTGGTTTTTACTTTTCTTTGTGTTCTTCTGTGTTTTTCCTTTTTTCAGGTAAAATTTTCACATGGTGAAGTGCACAAATCATATATTCGATTTACTTAGATTCAGCAAATGCATATACCAGTGTTTTAAGATAAAGAACGTTTCAATCATCCAGAAAGTTCTTTCATACTCTTTCCTAGTGGTTCTTCTGGAAACAACCACTGTTTGAAATTTTTCACTTTGAATTTGTTTTGCCACTTCTAGAACTTCATGTAAGTGGAATCATTCAGTGTAGATACTTTACTGTTCAGCTTCTTTTGATCACTATATTCCCAAGATTCATCCATGGGTCAGTAATTCTTTTTCAAGATTGTTTTGCTACTCAGGATCCTTAGTATTTCCATATTCATTTTAGATCAGGTTGTCAGTTGCTGCAAAAATATTTTTGCTGAAATGGTGGCTGTAATAGATATAAAACAAATCGGCAACAATTCATTAGGGAATGAGGGCAGGTGGACATCTTAATATTGACTCATCTGTGAATATGCTGTATCTCTATATACTTAGCTTTTAAAAAGTATCTTTGAGCAAAGTTGAGTTTGGGCAGAGTTCACAGTCACATTTTGATGTTTTTCCCTTGTGCCTCTTTCTTTACAGGGTATCTTCCTTCTTTTTTCAAACTCTCTGGCAGCCCCAAATGTGTCCTCTGATTCTAGGTCAGTAAAACTGCAGTTTTCTAAAAACAAACCCCCTGCAGTGTTCTGTTTGAATTCTAGTTGCCCTGCCTAGCTGTGACTGGGGAGTGCCCTTGGGTACACAGCCACAGAAATGCAGCTCTCATCCAGTACAGTTTGCAGCTTTAACGGGTGGACCTCTCTACAGCTTTTGTCTGTTTTTGATCTGTCTCCACTGTTTTCAAATAGTTGATTATTATATTTTGTTCAGAGTTTATCATTGTTATCTGAAGGAAAGTTAGCCTAATTGAGGCTGCTCTGCCATTACTGGAAGTAGAACCTCCATTCTGTTTTGTGTATTCTTTTACTAATTGCATACTGTTTTAATTATTGAGAATTTGTAATGTGCTTCAGAATCTGGTAGGACAAGTCTTTTCTTTGTTAGAATTTTTCTGGTCATACTTATTTATTTTGGCTTATTATAGTATTTGGACTAATACCTGGATTTTTAAAGCATTTATTTTTATTGAGATTGCATCAAATATATAAATTTGGTAGAATTAATACCTCTATGATGGTATCTTCCTGTGTAGGGTCATATGTTTTTCTTTTTGCTCAGTGCACTTTTGTGTTCTTTAGTTATGTTTAAAATGTTTCTTTGTATAGTTTGACACAGTTATAATTACATTTATCTAGATGCTACTTTATACAACTCTCACTATCTAAGGGGGATTGGTTCTAGGATTTTTCACTCATACCAGAATTAGTGGATGCTCAAGTCTCTGATATAAAAATAGCATTGTAAGGCTGGGCATGTTGACTCACTTCTGTAATCCCACACTTTGAGAGGCTGAGGTGGAAGGATCACTTGAGTCCAGGACTTCAAGACCATCCCTGGTATCACAGTGAGACTTTGTCTCTACAAAAAGTGTTAAAATTAGCTAACTGTGGTGACACACGCCTAAGTCCCAGCTACTCAGGAGGCTGAGGCGGGAGAACTACTTGAGGCTGGGAGGTCAAGGCTGCAGTAAGCCTTATTTTAAAAATAAAATGGCATTGTATTTGCGTATAACCTACACATATTTTCTCATACTTTAAATCAGCTGTTCCCAACTGTTTTGGCACCAGAAGCCAGATTCATGAAAGACAATTTTTCCACCAACTGTGGCGGTGTGGCAGTGGTTTTGGGATAAAGCCATTCCATCTCAGATCAGCAGGCATTAGTTAGATTCTCTTAAGGAGTGCCCAACCTAAACCCTCGCATGTGCATTTCACAATAGGGTTCTCACTCCTATGAGAATCTAATGCCACTGCTGATCTTCCAGGAGGCAGAGCTCAGGTGGTAACGGTCTCTCCCTTGCTGCTCACTTCCTGCTGTGCATCCTGATTCCTAACAGGCCGTGAACCGGTATCAGTCTGTGGCCTCTGAGACTCCTGCTTTAAGTCATCTCTATATTATGCATAATATGTAATACAATATAAATGCTGTATAAATAGTTGTTGTACCATATAGTTTTTAAATTTTGTATTTTTCAATTGTATTTTTTTTTAGTTTTTAAAATTTATTTTTGTTACTTTTTGATCCGCAGTTGGTTGAATCCAAGGATGTGGAACCCTTGGATACAGAGGGCTCTATGTTTTATTATAAATTGGTTTATTTAAAAAAAATTTTTTATTGTGTAAACAGGTAATGATTTTACTAGCTAGAAGCAAATTTGATATTTTAAAATAAACCTTTTTTTTGTTAGGCATGATAATGATGGAACTGAGGCTTAAATATATCCTATGGCAGCAGTTGGAAAGTGACTGAATTAGGGTTGGGGTCTAGATCTGTCTGCCTCTAGATTGATTGCAAGTTCTTAACAATTACTGTTTATTCTTCTCTGATTCCTTTCAAGGATTAAATAAAGTACAAATTAAACTTCATGCTCTATTTTAGATTCTGGTTCTCATGTCAGTCCCAGAATAACTGGAGTGAAATGTTCTGATAGCAGAGCAGAATAGCCTCTTGCACTACACTTTTGTTAATTATTTTCAAAGAAGAGTCTGCTGTATACCATTTCTTTCATAAACTGAGACTTGCAAGTCTGTAGAATGTAGGTGATTCTATTGTGATTTAAACTGCATTGTGCTATATGTTTCCAATAGATATTTGACAAATATCTTTTAAATAAACCATTAATGTCATGGTTTTTAAATCAGTATATCATTGGGAAAAAGGAAAAGGTCTAAGCCTTAATTTACCTGGCTTTTTCTGACTTTTATAGTCTGGTAAATTTTGCAGCCTGAAAAAGCAAGAGAATCTGTAAAATACTTTAATGAGGTGCTGGAAAATTTCTGAACAGGTTTTATTGTGAACTGTCCAGTCACTGTAGCCCCCAAAGCAGGGCATGACGTGTTCCTGCAGCCTGATAGCTATGTGACAGCACCTGTAGCACTAAAGCCAAGGATACCAGGTGGTTCTGTTGCCTGGCCACAGGAAGCCAGCACTTCTCACCATTGCCCTTTGAACTGTTGATCCAGTTAAGCTCACTAACAATGTGTAAATTTGAAATTTAATCAGTTCCTTGGTTTATCTTCAAAAGATGTTTTGAAATACTCCTTTCTCCGCATTGAGGTTTTGATGATTTTGTAATATGTGAGAAGTGGACTTTTCAGAAAAGTACAACTTAGTACTTGAGACACTGGCTGTCAAAGTTCCATTCCAGAACTTCCTTTTAAATTCTCTTTCCCTTCTCCCACTGACCAGAAGTTACTTTGAAATGAAGTGGAGGTAGGGAAAAAGGGAGAATTAACTCTGAGCTGTCCATATTCTGGAGAGAAATGTGGGAGAAAAATTTTAAGGTGGTATACTAAATTAGAATGACTTGAAAGTCTATTTCTTTGTTTATTCTAGAGATAAGAGAGCAACATAATTTTCAGTAAAACTTAAAAGTATCATGACCAAATAACCCGAAAATCTTAACTGTGGATGTATGTCTATTTTTATGGGGATTTTTTTCTATATTAAAATCAGATGACATCTGTTTTTAGATATTTTTTTTAAAATTGGATTATAAAATGAAGCACTGTTAGTAAAGCTGATGGCAGAGGTTTTAGATCTTTTGAATAGAGGAAAGTGGTAAGGGCATTATAGGTATGATTCATTGAGCTAGAGGGCATTGGTGTTCACATTTTAGAAACATAATCATGACTTATCTGGAGTCACATGTTCCATTTTATTGGCTTCCTTCATATAGAAAATATAGTAACCAGCACTACATGCCTGTGAAAAAGTGAAGCAATTGTATATTTTCTGGGTGAAGGAAGTATTCTGTACATTCTCCATGTTTTACATCATGGTATTTTGAATAACCATGCTTCCATGTTCACATCAATTTTTTGTTTTTCAATTTATGCACAGCACTTGCTCTGAAATTTGGGGACTGAGTACACCAAATACGATAGATCAGTGGGATACAACAGGCCTTTACAGCTTCTCTGAACAAACCAGGTGAATATTCTGCCCTCTGTTGAATCCTAGAGATCTTGTGGGAGGGGGGTATATTTTGAAAGACCTATATGGGGTTGCTTAGTGTAATTTTGCCTAGGATGTTTCCTTAATGTAAAATAAGGCATAGCATTTAAAATATCTGCTTGCCAGTATAAAAAATATATTAAATGTTTCAGCTGATGTTTTAATCAATGCAATTCTAGTTTGAATCTTCTTTAAATTGCTGTATCCCCTAAAGAATAAGAATTTTGATAACTATATATATATTTTAGCTTGAGATCAGATTATAATCTGTTGTTGGCCTAATTTTTAAGTAGATACATGATCAGTTTTGCTAAATTTCTTGTTACCAAAATCTCATCTTTATACTAATAAATACATATTTAATGAACCCCTTTTATTACAATTAACAGTAGGTTAACTCATTTTTATGTTACTTTTTAAAATCACTTCATTCTCTTTTTTGCGTATATGGTATTTGTTCATTTCATCTCATCATATTCATCACCATCCACATTTATTTGTGAACTACATATATATACCTCAGTTCTCAAAACAGTCACAACTGGGTAATGAGTTGTAGTAGTCTGAGGAAGTTACTATCACATCATTGTTGGTATTTATCATTCTTCACACTAGTTCCTTTTTTGACTATTCAGTCACCTCCAGAATTAATACCCTTAGAAGCATCTCCAAAATGAGTTTGATTTTCTAAACATAGAAGTTAACGAAGTTTTTCAAGTGTAACTGCATAAACTCTATTTTTTTAAAAAATCAGTTTTTCCCAAGTAGTTAGCCTTTCATTGGCATTTGAGTCATTTATGTGACGTATTTATGAGAAACATCTGCTAGTGCTGCTGCATACTTTTATCAGATCCATTAAATAGTACATTTTTCTTCTTGATTCTCACTAAAACTAACTAAATGGCTGTCATTCTTTTCTTTATGCTTTTGCTGTACTAATTTAGCCCATTCGACTACACTTTTTTTTTTTTTAAAGTTCCCTCCTTTGTTTTCCCCTTGCTTCCCAATAGGTCTCTTGATGGTCGTCTCCAGGTATCCCATCGAAAAGGATTGCCACATGTTATATATTGCCGATTATGGCGCTGGCCTGATCTTCACAGTCATCATGAACTCAAGGCAATTGAAAACTGCGAATATGCTTTTAATCTTAAAAAGGATGAAGTATGTGTAAACCCTTACCACTATCAGAGAGTTGAGACACCAGGTACGAACAATGCAAGTTTTTTTCTTGGTTTTGAGTTAAATGCCTGAACTTAAGTATATTTAAGTAATCTTGTGACCCAGGAAAATTTTAGTGTAAATTCTAATAAATTACCTTAAATTGTGCATATTATTTGGTGGTAATTAAATTTTTTTTATTTTTTAAAATTTTTAATGGGAAAACGTATCTTGGAAAGATGTGTCTGTTTCTTGGAGTAGCATGTGATTTGGCATTAAAGTGCATATCCAGGAAATCCTGTAGATTGGCAGTCTGCTTAGAGCTGTGCTGATGTGCTTCTACATGTCCCTGCTGCAGTAACTTATTTTCAAGCATTTTGCACTTGGAGTGCTTTTAGAAGTACTTTAATGACATCATTTGTATATACGCTGTTTAGTAAAGCTTGTAATAAGACTTCATTTAGTTAGCTGTCTACCTGAAACTATTAAAAAATATAGCAGTAGCTGTATTTTTGGAAATTTTTCTATATCTGATTGTACAGATAAAGACAATGTTAACTTTTCCAATGGGGATTTATGAACTTTTATGGTAGTATATTACCAGGATCACATTGTTTCCAAAAGTTTGAGATAAATTAGAACTTGGAAATTTGAATAATAGACTACATAAGTTAAAGCCGTAATCAGATTTGTCAGACCCTAACTTTAAAAATTAAGCTGCAACTTCTCTTCTTCTTGTTGAAACTTTAAAAAAGGTTCCCCCACTCCCCTTTGCTCTTTGCCATAACTAGGCTTTCTTGAACTTTTTCAGTTTTGCCTCCAGTATTAGTGCCCCGACACACTGAGATCCTAACAGAACTTCCGCCTCTGGATGACTATACTCACTCCATTCCAGAAAACACTAACTTCCCAGCAGGAATTGAGCCACAGAGTAATTATATTCCAGGTATTTTTGACTTCTGAATCTTCTAAAACTTGGATAGATACAAATGTTATTCATAAGCATTGAAGTATTAGTAAATTGTGGTTTCACTTTTTTTAAAATGCTTTTGAGTTTTTAATAGAAAAATCGGATTTGTTGGGTGATTATTTTGTGAAATGTATAAGCCTAGTACATTAAACAGTTTTGTTTGGAGAAGAGTTTTACTTTATATTTCATTTTCTTTTGCAGTGACTTTAATCAAAGTACTGTGAGAAGCAGAAAAGAAAAGATCTTAGTAAGTTTATCTTAGTTGTTGAAGCTAAGCGAGATGCAGAATGTAAGCAAAACAAATGATGTAGGAAAAAAGTACCCCTGAAACACATGTAACTGAAAATCCACCCAGTGATCACTTTTTCTTAGGTAACTTGGTAATATTTAACAGAAATGTAACATTTCTATAAGAAATATAATACTTAGTTCTATAGACGTAGCAGCACTTACATATTATACTGAACATCAGAAAACCTCTTTTCATTATGTTTCGTCTGCATCTTAGTGATTCCTGATGAAAAATGAATTCAGCTACATGGTTCTCAAATTTTGTTCTGATGTATTGTGTGATCCAGTAATACTCCACGATGCGATATCTGGCCTTTTCGTTTTTTATGGTTTTTTTTTTTTTTTTGGAGAACGACTAATATTTTGTTACTTTTCTTGTATGTTTTCCTTTTTGTTTTGTTTGATTTTTCTCCCTAGCAGAAACAGCATGATGTTAGGATGAGGATTAGATTAAGCTATGGTGTCTTGATTTCTTTCTTCCTTTTGTAATACTCTTCTATTCCACTCTTATTTTATACACTAAAAATATGTAAGGAACTTAAGAGCATTTACAAAATTTTTAAAATACAGTTTTAATACATTTAAACAATTATTTCTTTCATGTATCCATCATGGAAATAATGCTTATGCATTGAAGATAATTTTTTTTTTTTTTTTTTTTTTTTGAGATGGAGTCTCGCTCTGGTCGCCCAGGCTGGAGTACAGTGGCCGGATCCAGCTCACTGCAAGCTCTGCCTCCCGGGTTCATGCCATTCTCCCTGCTCAGCCTCCTGAGTAGCTGGGACTATAGGCGCCCGTCACCCTCACCCGGCTCGTTTTTTTTTTTTTTAGTAGAGACGGGGTTTCACTGTGCTTAGCCAGGATGGTCTTGATCTCCTGACCTCGTGATCCGCCCGTCTCGGCCTCCCAAAGTGCTGGGATTACAGGCTTGAGCCACCGCGCCCAGCCGCATTGAAGATAATTTTTAAAATGTAAGGAAGAAAAAAAGAAAGATAAGAAAAGATAACTAAGAAAGATAAGTTTTTTTTTTTTTAATAGCTGGTTTTACAGATGGGAAGTGGTTTTTGATTGTTTTAGTTTGATTACTGTTTTATTCCAGAAGAGGATTTAAAACTGCTTTTTGGGTTGCTAGGAAATACAAACTTACTGAAGTTAAGAGAGGGAGAAGTTGGGGTGTCGTATGATATACTAGGATGAGGGAAAACGTGGGACTATGAAACAGGGCAGTTGCCAGGTAGGAAAGGGAGTGGAGTTTAGTGAACGTTGGTGTGGGAAAAGGGAGGCATTTTAAGTTGTTAGTGTGGAGATTACCGTTTTTCAGCCAACAGTACTAACCTTAGGTATAAGCATGCAGTCTTACAGCACGCATATCCAGTAATTATTTGGAAGGATATTCACCAAAATGTTTAGTGGCTTTCACTTGTGAAGATGTTTGGGCTCATTTTTCCTTTCTTTTTTATTCTTTTAATTATTTAGATTTGAGTATTTTATAAATTAGAAAATCAGAAGTGGATTATACCCATTTGCTTTTCTGGACAGTGGGGCTTTATCCAGTTTCAAGCAACAGCAAAACCAAAGGATTCATGTTTTATTCCACTTAAAATACATTTTAACGTTTTCTCAAAAATGCTAATAGCTTTATTATTTATTACAATGGAAAAAGTGCAGTAAGATAACGTATTTTAAGGTTCAGCATTTCTTTCTGATTAGATCTTTGAGATACTGGTTAAACTCAAAAAGCTTAGCACCATTTAACTTTATTAGCTTTAACTTTTAAAATATACGTAATGATATATACACTTATTTTTATGTTCTTTATTGTTTGCATATATGAAGCTAGTTTATTCTTAGAATTTTTGTATTAAAAATTTTGGGGTACTGACACTTAAATGAAAAGTTTGATGCTTAAAGTTTGTGGTTAGCTTATTGAATAGATATTGTAAAAGGTTATTGACGGAGACGCTTAACCTGTATCTTCCCTCTCTCCTTTTTTTTTTTTTTTTGTTTTTTGTTTTTTGTTTTTTGTTTTTTGTTTTTTGAGATGGAGTTTCGCTCCTTGCCCAGGCCAGAGTACAATGGTGTGATCTCAGCTCAACACAACCTCCACCTCCTGGGTTCAATGATTCTCCTGCCTCAGCCTCCCTAGTAACTGGGATTACAGGCATGCGCCACCACACCCGGCTAATTGTGTATTTTCTTTTTTTTTTTTTTTAGTAGAGACGGGTTTCTCCATGTTGGTCAGGCTGGTCTCGAACTCCCGACCTCAGGTGATCCGCCTGCTTCGGCCTCCCAAAGTGCTGGGATTACAGGTGTGAACCATCGTGCCTGGCCTCTGTCTTTTGATAATTTTAAAATTCTGTTTGGATATGTGTCTGTGTTATCTTGAATTGCTCAGAAGTGTTCAGCAGTGTAAATGTTGAACTGATGAAACTCTTTTGAACTTATTTTTCCTCCTTGGAATTACAGTTGATGTAATTGTATACATGTTTTTATTTTACATGCAGTGTTTTCAGCTATTCAGATGCCTTTCTGAATATAAATGTTTTATTCAGACAACATGGTGGAAATAACATGTTAGAATCCTAAAGTTTATTTTCGGGGAGCATTTTACCTCTTTATACAGTAGTCTATATTTGAATTGAATTTTTTGCTTCAAACACTTAGACTTTACCAGTTAGGAATCCTTGGAGAAATATACTTTTTAGGTAGAATTCAGTCTGGACCAATCTGGAACCATACTACCATATTTTACCCTATAGAACTTAGTATAAGTTGTAAGCTGTATTATTTAATACTTTTATAATCCAAAATCTTGTGTGTTTTTTATATTTTCTAAGTACTCATAAAATAACAATGTTCATTAGATTAAACAACAACAAAAAAAAATTGTAGTTATTAGTGGTTTTGCAGCCTACTGATTCAGATCTGGGGCAATTTTGAAGTTACATTTTTGGCTCTTGTCACAGAATATGTACATACAGGAATGAGTGAGATATGTAAATAATGTATATGTCCAGAGAGTAGGATTTTATTAAAAGTAGATGTTAAGGATTCACTGCAAAATTTGGACAAGATCCTGAATTATACACCTTCAGTATGCAATATTACTTTCTGTAATAATGTTATATAATGTTATTATTTGTTATTTGGAGTGATTCATTGGTAGCTGGGAGAAAAGGTAGTGAGATTATGTCGCAGCTGTGCTTGATTTATTTTACACTTTTGTAGAAACGCCACCTCCTGGATACATCAGTGAAGATGGAGAAACAAGTGACCAACAGTTGAATCAAAGTATGGACACAGGTGAAAAAAAGTCTTTGAAAATTCCTCAGTTATTAGATATACATTTCTTGTTTTGTTTAAAACTCAAAAAAGATGTTACTCTTAGAGAAGTTGAGAAACATACCAAAAAAGATGATCTTCTATCTTGATTTAACATACCTGAACTACCAAAGGGGTCCATGTTGTCCCTGAAAAATTAACGTATGGTACTCTGCAGAATAATTATTTTTTAATTAGAGTAAATGAAAATTTGAAAACATGCACATGCTTTTATTTCTTTTTAAGTATTTGCTTCTGTTGAAAGTTTTAGTTAACCCTATGACTAAGTATCTCTCCATGATACAAGACCATAATTACTCAAATAAGAGATTTTCAGAGGAATTTGGGGGTGAAGGATGAGGAACAGCTTTTCACTGCTTTTTTTAACCTAATAGTGAGTTTTGAATTATAGTAGATTAATTTCTTATACTTAACTATCAACTCCAAACAGTGATGAAGAAAAAAATTAAAGCTTTAAATCATGTCTTATGTAATAAAATGTATAACTCAGCAGAACTAATAAATTATCAGTGAAATCACTTTGATGTCATTGTAATTGTCCAGTTTGATTCATTTCACTCTATCTGTATCTTAACTATTGGACACCTTAATATTACAGCCTGATAGATTATACCATCATCTTTGTCCACATCTCAACACTAATGCATTCTTGGTTATGATAATCTAAATTAATTTTTAAATGAATTAACGTTGGTGGGGGAAGGAGGGGTTACAATAATTCTGTTGTTTAAATCCGTTTTTTAGACTCTCAGGTAAAGAAGTTTCTGCTGTAGCTAATCATACATTTGGGTCTTTACGAGTACCAGATAACTAAGAAAGGTAGATAATCTAATGAACATTGGAAATGACATGTTATACATCTTAATGCAAATATCTTAATGCACATGATATATGACTTTCCACATATGTTTGCTGAAATTAGATGTCAACTTTCTTCTTGAAGCAGTAATATTCTTTTTTGCCTGTGATGGACAGCTGTTACTGTGACATTTAAAAGTGAATGATAAGAAAAGATACTTAATGTCATAAGCCACAATGAGATGCTACCTCACACCTACTAGATGGCTATAATCAAAAAAAGGACAATAACAAATGTTGGTGAGGATGTGGAGAAATTGGAGTCCTCATGTATTGCTGGTAGGAATGTTAAATGGTTCAGCACTTTGGAAAAGTTTGCTGTTCCTCAAAAAGTTAAATATAGAGTTAACATATTGTGGCCAGCTATGTACCCAAGTGAATTGAAAACATGTCTACTCAAAAACTTGTACATGACCGTTTATGCAGGCATTATTCTTAATATTCAAAGTTAGAAACAACTCAGATGTCCATCAAATGATGAATGGATAAATAACATGAGATATGTTTCTGCAGTAGAATTATTCAGCCATGTAAAGGAATGATAGTACAGCATGAAGTGTGGCAACATGGATGGACCTTGAAAACAGTATGTTAAGTGAAAGAAGCCAGGAAAAAAAGGCTGCAGGGATTCTAATTAGTGCACAGACACCTATTCCAACAATATAACTGAAACCACAAATATGAGTATTGGTTATGTATGATAAATGAATCAAAGTCAAAAATGGAGAACAAACTGAATCAGTCAGCTAAAATAATTGCAGTGTTGGGGCTAACTTTGAACCCAACCTAATATTTCTGTTTCAGTGGAGCAATGTTACTGGCTTTCTGAATGACACGTTTAAAATTACTGTATGACAATGGGAATATGTGATTCATGAGATGCCAACAGTTGGTTTGGCTGCCAGCCTGTTAACCAATATCAGTTTCTCTCTCGGGGCCATGACAGGAAACACAATTCTGACTGATGCAGGGCTCCAATTTAGAACAAAGTTGGCCACCTCTCTAACTCTGGTTCATACCTTCCAGAGGGAAGGACATAATTAAATTCATCTTCCATAACCTGCTGGGAAAAAAAATGAATTGAAAAAATTTTAAAGGGGCAACCAGAGGATAAATTAGGCATAATAAGTAATTATATGGACAAGCACTTGTTACTTTTTTCTCTTTTTTAAATTGAGATTTCTCTGATCAAGACTTTATTCTTCCTTTATAGTCTTGTGGACATTAGAGATCAGGCTGGACGTCGTAAGAAATTTAGAAGTTTGATTAACCTCTGTAATATTGTATAATCAGTCCCTTTTAAAGTCATGATTTTTATGAACATATTTATCCTAACAGGTATATAGAGAAATAGAACATAATAGATCGTAAGATGTGGATTTCATAACTCACAATTCAGTTTTGTATCTTCTACATACACTGTGCTTGGTCCAAGATATACAAAGAGACTTAAAGGGTTTTTTAATCTGCCTGTGTCCCAGAAGATAAAATGAGGTCCTGACCTCCCATGCCTCAGAATATGGCCTTGTTTGGAAGTAGCATCTTTGTAAAGGTAATTGTTTAAGATGAAGTCATACTGAAGTGCGATGGGCCCTAATTCTATATGACTGGTGTCTTTAAGAGATAGGGAGGAATGTGCCATATGAAGATGGAGGCAGGTAACTAGAGTTAGCACCTGCAAGCTGAGCAATTCCTAGGATAGTTGGGAAACCCAAAAGCTTAAGAGAAAGGCATGGAACAAATTCTCCCCTTGAGCCTTTGAGAGAGCATGGCTTTGCGGACACCTTGACTTGGGACTTAGGTCTTCCAAAGCTCTGAGAAAATAAATTTCTGTTGTTTTAAACCACCCAGTTTGTGGTATTTTGTTAGAGCAAGCCCTAGGAAGCTGATACAGTGAGTATTAAGATTTTGAGAGTATCCTACTAGTATGTATATTTAATTATTTGTAAGTTATATACAGGCACTTCATGTACATTTTAAAATATATACAAAAATTAGAAATTGAAAGATGAGATTAAATAGAAAATACGTTTTAATTTTTTCTTTTTGTAAACTGGTAGTTTTGTGTACTCCTAGACAGTGTTCACATACACTCCACTTACAAGACTGCTTTTCTTAACCAAATGCATATAATCAAAATAGCATAGTGAGACTCTGAGCTTGACTACTTGAGTTTGAAATGTTCCTCTTCCATATACTAGCTAGGTAGCCTAGTTTTTAAATCTGTAAAATAGGGACAATAATAGCATTTAACTCATAGAGTATTAACAGGTCTTATATTTATAAGGCATCTATGTGTTCCTAACCTGTAATAAGCACTGTATGAATGTAGTTAAAGAAAATGTTAGAGGAGTTAACCATTAAGAAAAAGGAAGATAGTGGATTGCACAAAAATTTGAAGGAAAGTGAAGACTTGAGATCCAGACACAGAAGCACTTGACCTTTGTTGTTTAGGATCATCTCTATAAAATAGGAAAGTAAGATTTTTGTCAAAAATGAGGGGTCAGGTTTGACAACTTCAGGATAAAAGTCTTAATAACAATGCCTTTTCTCTGCCATGTGTTAAACAGTTTTTTATGTAGATGTATATAGCATGTCTTTCATTAGATAAATTTTTTAGTATTTTATACTCTCAGTGCTGTTATACACATTTTTGTTACATTTTATTTTCCAGTTGTTCCTAGGATATGGGAAATACTTGATTTTTGCATATTAATCTTTTCTCCTGTATTCTTGTTAAATTGACTTTTTGGTTCTAGAATTCTGTAGATTCTTGAGGTTTTCTGCATACACAACCATGTCATCTGTTGATAAAGACAGTTTTTCTTTTTTCTTTTTTTTTTTTTTTGAGACGGAGTTTCACTCTTGTTGCCCAGGCTGGAGTGCAGTGGCACGATCTCGGTTCATTGTAACCTCCGCCTCCCAGATTCAAGCGATCCTCCTAAGTAGCTGGGATTACAGGCATGCACCCCCTCACCCAGCTAATTTTTTGTATTTTTAGTAGAGATGGGGTTTCTCCATGTTGGTCAGACTGATCGCGAACTCCCAAACTCGGGTGATCCACCCGCCGCGGCCTCTCAAAGTGCTGGGATTACAGGCATGAGCCACGGTGCCCGACTGACAGTTTTTCTTTTTTTCCCCTGTCTTTATGCTTTTTTCTTTTTCTGTCCTAAGACCTACAGTAAACTGTTGAAGTTATAAGAATGGACATTTTTGCATTGTTCTGATTATAGGAAGAATGCATTTCGCAATTCCCCCTTTAAATATGATGTTAATTGTGGATATTTTGGAGATTGTATCTGTTTGAGGAAGTTCTTTTTCCTTTTTGTTCTTCATGTTTTAAGTGTGTTTTATGAATGGCTGTTGGATTTTGTCCAGTGTTTTTTCTGCATTTATAAAGAGGATCATATAGTTTCATGGATTTCAATTGTTTTATTTTTGAGAATTTTTCCATCTATGTTTATGAGAGATTGGTCTGTAGGGTTTTTCCCCTTGTTATGTGTTCATTAGTTTTAATATCATAAAATGTGTAGGAAAGGGCTTTCTCCTGTTTTCTGAAAGTGTTTCTTTAAGGTTGGCATTATTTCTTTCTTAAATTTTTGATAGGGCTGGGCATGGTGGTTCTTGCCTGTAATCCTAGCACTTTAGGAGGCCAAGGCTGGAGAATTGCTTGAGCACAGGAGGTCAAGACCAAACTAGGGAACAAAGCAAGACGCCATCTCTACAAAAAAATATATATTTTTTTTAATTAGCCAGGGGTAGTGGCATTCACCTGTGGTCCCAGCTACTTTAGAGGCTAAGGTGGGAGGGTCACTTGAGCCCAGGAGGTTGAGGTTGCATTGAGCCACGTTTGTGCCGCTGCACTCCAGCCTGGGCAACAATGAGACCTTGTATTCAGAAAAAAGTTTGATAGATTTTACCAGAGAAACCATCTCTTGTAGGAAAGCGTTTTTTAAATTGAGGATTGTTTACATTTTTAATTTTGTGTATGTATTTGATAAACTTGTATTTTGTTAGAAATGTGTTCATTTCATCTAAGTTGTAGGATTGATTAATTGAGACAGGATCTCACTTTGTTGCCCAGGCTGGAGTGCAGTGGCCTG